AATACGGCTAGTCTAACTAACCAGTTTGCCCTGGAAATCCCACCTCCCGTTTCAGAGGATGGACTTAAAAGTGGGCAGCCACAGCCACCTGGTATTTATATAGGTTCTGGGGATCCAAACTCCAGTCTTCAACATTGCAGGGCAGGTGCTTTAAACACTGAGCCATCTCTCAAGTCATCTCCCAGATTTTAAATTATTTTGGTATGGTTTTTTTGTTTTGTTTTTCTGGGTTTGTTGTTGAGACAGGGTTTCACTATGAAGCTAAGACTGGCCTGGATCTCACTATGTAGGTTGGGAGATCCTCCGGCCTCAGCTTCCTGAGTACTAGGATTATAGACATGCATAACCATGCCCATCAGTATGAGTTAAATTATAGAAACAGACTTTGAAACTTTGAGAGATTGTTATAACTAGCCCTACTGACAATTTAATACATGTCCCACTGTCCCAACTCACCATCATGTTTTTTAAGACCAGAGAAATAATTCAGTCCAAATCTCCTCCAAATTAAAATTTCCAAACACCTCCCATGAAAACCAACTCCCAAAAATTGTCCTCCAGTCTCCACATGCACCTCAAGGCACATTCCCCCCACCCCTGCACCACCACCACCACCACCACCACCAAATAAACGTAAAATTTGAAGGAAAAAAGCCACTTCCCCAAAAGAATACTTTTGCCAAGTTTCTGGATCCTTGTCTTAATTAGCTTCCCTTTTAGTTGGACACTGCAGCATTGTTCATCATTTTATACTCATTCAAAGCATACAGAGGAAAGTTCCAAACAGAATGAAGCAACTCCTGGAAGACTTATGAGCCACAACTTATCAATTTTGCCTTCACCCCTAGTCTGCAGCTGCCAAATTAAGCAATAGATGTGGGGATTTCCACACAATTTCAGGGGAAATTGTGTAGAGAAAGTTGTGTTCATATTAAGCAGCTCCATTACCTCCATGACTAAACATTCGTTCATAAGCTTCATGGGTCCTATGACCACTTCTCTATTTAATATGCTTATTGGGGCTAGAGAGATGGCTCAGTGGTTAAGAGCACTGGCTGCCCTTTCAGAGGACCCAGGTTCACTTCCCGGGCAGCTGACAACCATCAGTAATTCCAGTTCCAGGGGATCCAACACCCTCTCCTGACCTTCATGGGCATTGCACTTGCATAAACACACACACCTATAAATCCCAGCACTCAGGTGGTAAAGGCAGGAAGAGGACCAAAAGCTCAAGGCCTCTGGGCATTGGTGGTGGCACACACTTTAATCCCAGCAGAGGCAGAGATTGGCTGGATCTCTGCAAGATAGAGGTTAGCCTGGTCTATATAGTGAGTTCTAGGCCAGCTGAGGCTTCAGGGAGACTATCTCCAAAAAAAAAAAATTGGTGATTTAAGTGGTGCAGTTCTTGGATTCAATTCCCAGTACCTCAAAAAATTTTAATTTGCCAGGCAAACCTTGGCACATGCCTATAATCCCAGAAGGTAGAGGAAAGAGGATGAGAAATTCAAGGTCATCCTTGGCTACATATTAAGTTCAGGCCAGTGTGAGCTACAAGAGGCTCCTCTCAGAAAACAAAACAAAAACATCAAATCATAATGGCAGCAATTAATGCTTTTAGGTAACACTGTGAGACAGAAAATAGGGTTTTTAAAGTATTTTAGAGGGCTGGAGAGATGGCTCAGGGGTTAAGAGCACTGGCTGCTTTGCTGAGGACCTGGATTTGGTTCCCAGCACCCACATGGCAGCTAACAACCATTCATAACTCCAGTTCCAGGGTATCTGACACCCTCTTTCAATTTCTGAGGACACTGTACAACAGAAGTACACTTATGCACATGCAGTCAATACACTCATACACATAAAATAAGAAAAATAATGTCCAAAAAAGTATTTCAGAGTCTATAAAATTGAATTGATATGAAGAGAAATAGGAAACCCCAAACTAAAACTCCATACATCTGTCACCAAGAGTCCATCAATTCAAAAACTTGAGTTCTATAATTTAAAAACTAAGCAACTCTCTATAGGAGACAAATATTTTCTTTTTCCTTGCAGGGTAAGAATGAGAAAAACAAAAGTATGAAGGAAAACTTTCCAGACTATTGTCAGGGTTACCTCACCTTGGGAAGAGACAGACATCACGGTGACGGTGTTTCTTTGGGATGCTAATGACATTCAGATTAAAATGTGCACCAATCCCAAGGCAATCTGGAGTGCATACACCCTGACCTGGCCCCCCAAAAATAGGTTTTTTTTTTTTTTTTTTTTTTTAATGATGGGGCTGGGGATATGGTTCAATGGTTAAGGGCATGTACTGCTTTTCCAGAGGGCTCCAGTTTAGTTCCAAGCACCCATGTCAAGCAGCTCACAACCACCTATAACTTCAATGGCAAGGGATCTAATGCCCTCTTCTGGCATCCACAGCCACTGCACTTCTGTGCACAGACACACGTGTCTAAAAAAAAATACATAAAATCTAAAAGTTCACACATGTATGTAATACATTCTGCTCACACACGTCCCTCTGGCCTGACCTATCCTCTTCCCACCCTACCAGCCTGCCCTTAAGTTCTCATCCCACCTCCGTGTCTTTCTGTTTTTGCTTTGTGACTCCCTGGGTTTTACCAGGGCCACTCTACTGGGCATGGGTGTGGAGCTGTCCAATGAAGCATGAGTAACTCACCAGTGGGAAGGTCACTGACAACAATGACAGAACAGTTTTATTTATTAACTTTGTTGGATAAAACAAAAGAAGCTAACTTACAATGTATGAAGTCTAAATGCTGCCAAGTAACAGCAAGAAATAAACCAACAGTGAAAAAGCATACTGCTCTGTTCCAAGAGCCTTGAGGGGAAAGAAGCGGTGACAGTCAGTTTGAGGGAGGGAAAACAAGGGCCCCGGCCAAGGATTTGGCAGAGCCACAAACATAGTTGAGTCATGGCCCAGGGAGTGTCAGATTGTCAGTCACACTTATCTCTTCAGGGGAAGAATATTCAATCCAGAAATAAAGAGTTGGTAAAGCTGGTAAATGGTAGAAAGCATCACCTTCTTCCTTTAGTCACAACATTTAATTTCCTTTTGCTTTTAATGTATGTTGTAAAAATCTTTTCCACTGGTAAAGATTCGAGATAGCCTAGGTCTGAAATGCCTTCCTTCCCACTTTCCCACTAGATAGAACACTTTTCTTGCCTTTTTTTTCCTTCTTCTAATTGAACACCAGCTTTCCCCCTCAAAGTGTTGCGGGGGAAGAGAAAAATAATTAGCATGGTACCTATTAACAAGAAAACAGGAGCTGAAGAGATGGCTCAGTGGTTAAGAGCACTGGCTGATCTTGAAGAGGACACAGGTTCAGTTCCCAGCATCCAAATGGCAGCTAACAAACCGTCTGTTAACTCCAGTTCCAGAGGGTTCGATGTCCACTTCTGACCTCTGTGGGCACTTCATGACAGGAGTGCAGCTACCTACATGCAGGCAATACACTCATACACATAAAATAAAAATTTTTAAAAAGAGGCTAAAAGTCCAAGACATACCTTGTAGACACAAGGTAGACACACCAGAAAAAGAGATCTGGGTGGGGCCTTTGTTCTTTGCAGTTTTAATTGAAGGGAAGCAGAACTGCCTTCCTCAAAGTGACAGGGGCCTTTGGCATGAAAACATTCCACCCTTTCAGGCCAACCAAGGAGGAAATATTCATCTTAATATTATTTGGTTTAGGGCCAAGAAGATGGTTCAGTGGATAAAGGTGCTTGCCACCAAGCCTGAAAACCAGAGTTGAGTCCCTGGGACTCACAAGGTAAAGGTAAAGAGCTGACTCCTGCAGGGTAGCCCTCTCACTTTCACAGGAGTGGTCCCCCTCCCCCTCCTCCACACACACACACACACACACACACACACACGCACGCACGCACACACAAATGTTAAAATGTTTCTTTCGGCTTCTCCTGTAGTCAGTTAGGTTGCTCTGTGTGAGCTAGAACTCAGATGTGACAATGAATCATTACTAATTATATTTATTATTGCTGTCATCCTTTAGCTTTGTGTCAAGAAGGAACCACTAACAGCATTATTGCATCCGTTTTCCTTTTAGCTTTGTCAGCTTTGGGCCAGGAAGGCACAGCACACTGCATGTACTGTTACCGGTTAGCATTTAATTGTGTGGTCAGTCTGAAGCTCCTGCCACTGGTTCACCTTTAACCTCGCAAATAGTGACCATCAGCCTGTGGTGCTTTAGCGCTTAGTGAAAGTCAGTGCTGGTTCATTTTGTATCTATGTGTCAGGTGTGGTGGCACACGCCTTTAGTCCCAGCACTTGGGAGGCAAAGGCAGGAGGATCTCTGTGAGTTTAAGGCCAGCCTGGTCTACAGGGACTTCCAGGTCAGCTGGGGCTACAGGGAGACCATGTCTCAAAAAGACCAAAAAATAATAATAAAATAAATGAATCTAGCCATGGAAGGCCAGCACATAAGTTACAGGCAGCCTGAAGATTTTCCATTATTGTACTTGAAATCTGCCTTTTTAATCTTTATTTTTATTTTATGTGTATGAGTGTATTGCTTACATGTATGTAAGTATACCCGTGTCATGCAATGCCCAAGGAGGTCAGAAGAGAGTGTTGGATTCCCCTGGTACAGACAGTTGTTAGCTGCCATATGGGTGCTGGGATTTGAATCTGGTCCTCTGCAAGAGCAGCCAGTGGTCTTAACTGCTGAACCATCTCTCCAGCCTCCGTCAGAGGATAACTTACAGGAGGAGCCAGTTCTCTCCTTCCACCATGTGAGTCTTTGGGATTGAATTCAGGTTGTCAGGCTTGACAGCAATGCCTTTTCCTGCTGAGACAAATTTAAGGCCATCCTGGTCTACTTAGAATTCCAGGTCAACCTAAGCCTGTCAGACTATCTCAAACAAACATCTAATCAAAGACCAGACATTAGGGACTGCTAATATATTTAAAAAAAAAAAAAAAAAAAAAAAAGTACAATATAATTTTATTATATAACATTTTATTTAAAATTTTTTTTCTTTTCAGAGTATACTTTCTCATCAGCAATTTCCACAGAGGGAAAATACTTTATTTGTCTTATTATTTGTGAATAGTTGAATTTTACCACAAGTAAAATACATTGGAAGATTAAATCTGTTTGCAATTTGTCATATTTTGATCCATCTACAAAGGAGAACTCATCCCTAATTAAACTTCTCTAGGTCAGAGGCTCTCCGAGCGTCCCTTCTTAGGATTTAAAAGTCAGTAATGTGACAGAGACATCAGCACCTCCCAATGGCAGCTTTCCTAGACACAGAACCATCAACAGCTGGAATCAGCTGCACAAAGAGGAAGGTTCTAAAACCTGAACATTTCATTTTTATGCAAAGCCTGACTTGTAAATCTTTCCTTTTGTCCATTATTCCCAGGACAAGCACAGAAGTATGTTCGTATATTGATAGTAATAAAGCTGAATTCTCTTTAAGAGACTATTAAAAGGTAAAATAAAGCTCATTTGTAATGTCATGCCACAAGTCGTGCGAGCTGCACACACCAGGAACTCTATGGGATATGGAACTGTCTCACAACTAGTTGAACCTAACTCTTCTCAAACTTTTCCTCAACAAATAAACTCTGAAAATAACCATGAAATCAGAAGAAAGTCTGCCTGCCAATGGATTTATCCTTCATTTCCTCCTGATTGTGAGCTGAATGGCATCGACAGAGCAGAGGCAAAGAGGTGTACAATCATTTCTTACAGTGTAAAACCAAAGAGATCAGAGCTCCCACAGCATGGCAACAGCTCTGCAGAGGCCTACGTCATGATAGTTGAAGTAACAAAGCCCAGCGAAGGTTAAGGCTGAGACAGCCAGGAGGGCTGCCTTGGCAGCTTTCGGCAATGTGTCCCCATGAACATAGTCAGTAATCACTTGTCCAATGCCCCTGAAGAAAAAGAAAATCACAGCACAAGTGCAGTTAGAAGAAGGCCATACAGACAATTTAGATGCTTTACTCCCCACAAAAAGTCAGGTTCAAATACAGTGTCTCTACCTGTAACTCCAATAACTGACTGTCTTTTGGGGGCCTCTGTGTACCCACTTTCATAGGTGGGATTATTTCTATACTTTGAGATAACAAACTAAAGCAACTCACAGTAAGAAAAAATTTAAACGAAAATGACGAACCAAGACTTGCTAATATGAGGGTTCGGTTCCCAGAACCCACATGGGTGTCTCACAACTGCTGATCACTCCAGCTCCAGGAGATCTGACACCCTCTTCTGGCTCCATGGGCACCACATACATGTGGTGCACATACATACTCTCAGACACACACACACACACACACACACACACACACACGCAACAATAAAATAAATATATCTTTATAAAAAGTTGCTAGTATGTGGGGCTGGAGAGACCGCTCAATGGTTAAGAGCACTGGTTATTCTTGCAGAAGACCTAGGTTTGAATCCCAGCACCCACATGGTGGCTAACAACCGCCTGTAATTCCAGTTCCAGGGGATCCAACCCCCTCTTTTGTCCTCCCCAGGCACTGCACAACACGGGTGCACTTACAGGTGCACACATGCAGGCATAACACTCGCACACATAAAAAAGCTTTTTTAAAGTTGCTAGTATGTAAGAAAGATAACTTTTTTTTGGAATTAAATTTCCTGGGCTATTTATACAGTAACTAAATGCTCTTCTAGTTACAAAATGTCTTTGTTAATAAAAACTCTACAGAGTTTTCATTCACAAAGAATTTACTAAGCAGGTCTCATTTGCCAGAGCATGTCATCAATGTGGAGAGGGCAGTAAGGAAGGTGGACTCCTTTTCTTGGTGTGGAAATAAGTATTCTAGTGCAGTAGAAAAAAAAACACAAATACAAGAGCATGACGATGTAGAACATGAGAAAGCAGTGAGTGCGCCTATGAAAAAGAAGATGAGGAATGCCAGAAATGAGCATGTGGTTAGGGAAGGCTTTGTTGAGAGCACGGTGGGGAACAAGCCAGTGTGAAACTAGAAAAAGAGTTTTAGAAAGAAATAGCAGCACTAGGAGTAAAGCCCTGAAGGATGGAGGGTCCCCAACCTGTCTGAGGAACATCAAGGAAGCTAGTGTGACTGAAAAGCATAGCTAGAGAGGGGAGGAGTGTGTATGTGGTGCGGGGTGGGGGTGGGGGGGGGTGGTCCAGGGCAGTCTTTTATTTAGTACTTTATTTTGGTTTCTTGAGACAGGGTCTCATATAGTCCAGGCTGGACTTGAACTATGTAGCCCAGGCTGGCCTTAAACTCAAGTTTTGATCTTCCTGTCTCAGCCTCAAAAGTACAGAAATACAGGTGTATCCCCCCCCACACACACCTGGCTGTTTCTGATTTTTAGGAGAGACAAGGTCTCACTACTTTTATCCTGTTATCCTGGCTGTCTCTGAACTAGCAATCCTCCTGCTTCAGCTTCCTGGAGTAGCTGAGACTACCAAGCGTGTACCACCACAACCCAGATCACACAGCATCTATTTGACACTTTAAGAATTCTTAGCTGGGTATGGTGGCAAATGCCTTTAATCCCAGAACTCAAGAGGCACATCTCTGTGAAACTGAGGCCAGTCTGGTCTACATAGTGAGTGCCAGGCAGGCCAGCTGGGGCTACAGGGAGACCCTTTCTCAAAACAAACAAACAAACAAACAAACAAAAATCCAACAACAACAAACTGCCAATGATATATAAATCGGGGTATATAAGTACTCTGCTAAAATCATTTGTTTTTTTACAAGTTTTGGGACTATTCATTAACTTCTTCCTAACACACAATACACTAGACAAGCTTACAGCAAACAGACTGAGCAGACAATGGAATGCTAAAGGGACAGGACTGCTGTACTTGCCAGTAGCTATGGAGAGAGAGGGCTGCAGCCAGGGAGTAGTCCACCGCAGAGCAAGGATTCAAATACCCAGCTGGAAACAGGCTCAAGAGCACAATACTGACAACCCTCTCACTAGTCCAATGGAGACTCGCAGGCTTGGAACCAGCTACAAAAGAGCAGAGTCATGAGAGCTGAGAGGACAGACAAGTTCAACCAAGCACATAATTACCTCAGAGCACCAAACAGTATGCACACAGATACATCTATGAGCACTGAATTGGATGCTACATTCTTTGTCTTTTAGCACATGACAGATCTACTTTGCTTACTGGCAAGAAGGCAGGCAACATATTTGTGGATGTAAGACAATCTTGGATTTCACCGAAATAGCTACCTTATGAATACAACTTAGTGCTGCTTGATGGATTCCCTTAATAATCCTAATAACCTTCTAATCTTTAGAAGTAATGTATTATGTTCCAAAAACAAGTTCAACCAGCCAAATTAAAGAGAAGCAAAGGTCTGAGGGTCAGCGTGTAAGATTATAGTCCTTTTTCTGTCCCCTTACAAGTGTCAAACAAGTAAAGCATGAAGACTTGCCCCACTTCGTCAAACTCCTTAGGGAACGTGACAAAAGGGTGGAGTTTCTATCCAGAAAAATGCACATGGGCACCTACATTAAACCTATGTATGCAACTTTAGGGGTCTTCCTTCAGTCCCACGTACTCCAGAACCAGTCTGTTAAATAAGATAGTTGAACTAAGCGAAGGACTCCAGAAACAAAAAATAAAACGGCTTTAAAAAATAGAAAAACTGTATTTCTCTAATCTTTCACAACTCCGCTGCAACTCTGAAGTGGTTGACTTAAGAATCAAAATGACTGAAAGGCCAGAAAAAAAAAAAGAAAGTAAAAAACCAATAAATCAAGAAGTCTATAAAACACTGATCTCAGGAGTCAGGCATGATGGCACACACCTGTAATCACAGCACTCAGAAGGCTGAAGAAGGATCATGTTGAGATGTTGAGTTTGAGGTCAGTCTGGAATTCATAGTGAGTTTCAGGGCAGCCTGGGCTACAGAGTAAGACTCTGTCTCACAAAAAAGCAAACCAAAAAATCCTTATCTCGGGACAGGAGGATCATCACAAGTTTGAGGACAGCCTGGTTTACACAGCAAGTTCCAAGCCAGTCAGGGCTACATTGTGAGACCTTGTCTAACAACAGTAACAACAACAACCCCCACCCCACCCAAAACACCAATTTTTAAAAAAATTTCTCTCTCCAGACTTTAAAAATGGAATAGTTGCTGGGCATGGCAGTGGCTGGGCACGGCAGTGCACGCCTTTAATCCCAGCACTAGGAGGCAGAGGCATGCAGATCTCTGAGTTCAAGGCATGCAGATCTCTGAGTTCTACATAGCAAGTTCCAGGCCAGCTGGGGCAACAGGGAGACCCTGTCTCAAAAAAAAAAATATATATATATATATATACTTTTAAATCAACCTTAAAAATAGACAATTCTGCTGCTGGGCGCAGTGGCACATGCCTTTAGTCCCAGCACTCGGGAGGCAGAGGCAGGCGGATCTCTGTGAGTTCAAGGCCAGGCTGGTCTACAGAGTGAGTTCCAGGACAGCTGGGGCTACAGGGAGACCCTGTCTCAAAAGGACAAAAAAGAAAAAAAAATAGTCAATTCCAACTACAAATCCACGACAGAGTCCACAGACATGACTTTTATGCCGTCAAAATTACCCTTACCTGGCTCTTCTTCACTAGCTACACAAATACCAGTGACTAAGCTGCACTGAACAGACTTCCTACAGAGTTCCTTTCTTGTTAAGAATATAAACGGCATCATTCAACCATGTTGCACTGTCTGCCCAAAGATATAAACTAGGTCTTCATTTGACGAGCGGCCATGATAGTCTCCCTAAGAGACATCAAGTCCTGACAAAGGTATGAGGATGAGCCCAGGTACAGATGGTCAGAGCCCCAAACACTGCAGCGCTGAAGAGAACATACAGTGACAGCTTGGAGACAGGTGAATGTGTTGTGTGCCACGCCATCCTGGGGTGGGCTGGTCCTGGAGAAATGCTGAGGCATAAGCAGGTCTGACCACTGGACTTCGGAGTAAAAGAGCTGAGGGAAGAAACACAGGGATCATAAGTACTGTTTTGAAAGATTTTATTTATTTTTGTTTATTTTATGTGTACAACTGTTATGCCTGCATGTATGTAAGTGCACCCGTGTCGTGCAATGTCCACAGAGGACAGAAGAGGGTATTGGGTCCCCTGGAACTGGAGTTACAGATGGTTGTTAGTTGCCATGTGGGTGCTGGGATTCAAACCTGGCTCTTCTGCAAGAACAGCCAGTGCTCTTAACTGCTGAGCCATCACTCCAGCCCTTGAGAGATTTTATTTTTAATTATGTGTATATATGCATCTCTGTGTGAGGATATGCATGTGAATGCAGGTGCCCGAGAAGCCAGGGGCATTGGTTTCCTCAGGAGGTGGGGTTACAGGTACTTGTGAGTCACTGGACACAGTTGCTGGGAACTGGACTTAGGTCCTCTAGAAGAGCAAGTGCTCCTAACTGCTGAGCCATCTCTCCAACCTCATCAATACTTCTTTAACAGGGCTAACAAGACTTTCTATATGATCATAGGCTATTTAAACCAATAAACCTATATATTAAAACACACACAGAAACAACAACAACAAAACAACCTTAGTTGAGGATGTAGCTCAGTTGGTATTTTACTTGCCTAGTATAAATGAAGTCATGGGTTCAATTCCCAGCACTACATAAACTGGGTGTGGTTGTGCACACCTGTAATCCCAGCACTTGAGAGGTGGAGGCAGAAAGCAGAAGACCCTCAGCCACACACCACGTTGGAAGCCAGTCTGGGATACATGGGACTCTTGTCTCAAAAACAAAACAACAACTGAAGAATCTTAATACAACTCACTTAATACTGGCCTTACTTTTTATTTATTTTTAAATGGCAGCTTCTTTCTCCACTCAGTCATCTATTTATCTAGAAGCAACTACATGCAAGACTGTGCTTGGCAATGGAACAAGATAAGGACAAATCTTTGCCCTCAAGAAATTCAATCTAGTTTGGAAAGTTCACCTATTACCCTCCTTCCTCTTCAAGACCAAAGTCTCCATTTGTACTCTAGAACCATCCTTTCTGTTCCTTTTTGGATCTTGCCCCTTGGTTAGGAAAAGACAAACTAATGTTCACCTTCCTACACCACATATTAGTTATGGGATGACAAGCAGCTAATTAAATAGGCTCTTTAAACTTTGATTTTTCTCATTTGTAGAAGGGGAATGTTGTACTTTGCTTTCTGTTGCTGTGATAAACACTATAACTAAAAGCACCTTAGGAGAGTGAGGGGCTTATTTCAGCATACACTTCCAGGTCACAATCTATCACTGAAGGAAGTTGGGGCAGGAACTCAAGCAGAAACCATGGAGAAATCCTGCTTACTGGCTTGCTCCTAGCTCACGATCAACTAGTTTTCTTACACAGCCCAGGCCCATGTGCCTAGGGATGGTACTGCCCACAGTGGACTGCCCTCCTACATCAATCATCAGTCAATCATCTCTCATAGATGTGGCCATAGGTCATACTTCAGCTGACGTTCCCTCCTCCCATGTAACTCTAGATTGTATCACGTTGACAATAAAACCTAACCAGCATTGGGAATAGTTACTTCAAAATACTTCTAAAAACCAAGACAGTATGTCAGGTGTGGTGGCCCATACCTTTAATTCCAGAACTCAGGAGGCAGAAGTAGGCAGATCTTTGTGAGATCCAGGCCAGCATGGTCTACACAGTAAGTTCCAGGCCAGCATGGTCTACACAGTAAGTTCCAGACCAGCTGGGGATACAGGGAAACTGGGTCCCAAGACCCCCACCCCCAAAATCAGACAATATATACAAAGGATTAAGGCATATATTAAGGCATTCCCAGAATACCAACCACATACATACAAAAAAGGTAATTTCTTACTTTTTCTCCTGTGTCTTTCACTTCTACTTTCTTCTTTCTAGCCATTTTCCTTCAACTGATGTAATATACCTAGCCTTCCCTTGAGCCTATGTCCTCTAAAAATGGCCCACACATTTTCCCCCCATTTTGTTATTGCTGGTTTTGTTTTCCAACAGGGTCCAGGGTCGCCTCAAACTCACTCTGTAACCAAGGATGCCCAGGCTGGTCTCGAACAGAGATCCGCTCACCTCTGCCTCCCGAGTGCTGGGACTACAGGCGTGCGCCACCACCAATGGCTGTTCTTTCAATGATCAGTGAACTCCATATGGCCGTATCTAATAACAACCAACAGCCTTTTGAGAATTTCCAGCTAAAATAAATCACCAATTCATACTGGCATAGTTCCTTAACATTTCTTGAGACAATCTTCTTTTCCCTATAACTTTTCACCTTTTGGGGTATACTATAAACAACTGTGCCTTATCTCACCTCCCCAACTTGTGTCTGAACCTACTCCACTTCCTGCCATGGTTATCTACTACACTGTTACCAAATGGCAAGTCTAGGCTGAGAGTATTTAGTCTGGCAGTAGGACATGCTCGTAGCAGCAAGAGGCACTAGGTTAAAAAAAAAAAAAAGACTGCTTGGCTAGGCGTGGTTGTGCACACCTTTAATCCCAGCACTCTGGAGGCAGAGGCTGGCAGATCTCTGTGAGTTCAAGGCCAGCCTAGTTTACATAGCAAGTTCCTGGTCAGCTGGGGCTACAGGGAGACCCTGTCTCAAA